TGAATTTGATTACTTAAATCGTGTTTACCTTTGCCGAGTTCCTGCGACTCGTGCTTACATATTAGATGTACTTGGGGACATCGCAAATCGATATAATGGATAATCGATTAACGGCTCTAGCTATATTATTAATCCTTTGGTTACATTTTTTACAATTAGACACTTTTCTATGGAGAGTAGATAATTTTATTTTCCTTTTCAATACGTCTATTTTATATGAAAAAATAATCTTACCCCTCGTTGACTCTTGTGTGCGCCGCGTGTGGGCGCGCGCGCTTCAATTTTCAATTTTCATTTTTCATAATATGTGTGAAAATAAAATTGATTATACGTTTATTGTAGCGCAATGAATTCATACGACCAAATTTCAGCAGGTGAGCTCGGATGAGCTTTTGATGGATTTGAGAAAAATCCGTCGCGCGCGCGCGATCGAAATCTTTCTTATATACGTTGTTCGTTGAAGATCCCATTGAAGACACGCCGCGCCGCGTGAATTCACACGAGCGCGAATGCAAGGAAAATTCAAGGAGTAAAGGGGAGGGGGGCGTATTACATTGGGGACGAAATAATTTCCTGGTGTCCTCCGCAGTCACGAAGGACGAAGAACGGAAGCGAACTGGTCTTTCACAAAGTTTCTTGGACACTCGAAGAAGCTTCTCCCTCTCCTGCGAGAAATTGCCGGATAATGGTCCCCGGTAGACGGAGCGACCAAGTGATCCTTACGGGATAAAGGGTGTGTCGCTACGTACACGTACGTACAAAAGGCGCCTGCCCCGTGCGTGCGTGTGTGCACCAGTTTCTACGTACGTACAAAGCCTCTCCCTCCTCCCTCCCTGCTGCTCCTACTCCTCCGCATAGAGAATCTCAACGGAAAGACCAAATCTCTACATCGTCCTTTTCGACGTAATGATTGCATCGTGCGCCGCGCCGCTTCGCCCTTTGCTACGCGAAGCCCACCCTCGTCTATCTCGTCGCTCGTAAATGTCAGTTAATATATACTCGTGTAATTGACTCATGAATAACTCGAAACTATTCGTCAAGCAATCAATTGTGCGTCTACATACACGCTATTGCGTTAAATACATTCAAGTCCAAACTATCGTATCGTCGTAACACATGGTTTACATACATGCGTGTGCGTTGTATCTAAAAAGGTTCAAATTCAAAAGAATTAACACTCTAAAAATAAAGGCCCCGCGACAAACCTCTCAAATTAGCAGATATTACAATCTTACAATATGTTACAGTTACTAAAAAGTCATGCTAAATATATCGCGGACAATCTACTATTAACTATTATCTATTATTTTTATAATTATATTACAAACAATTGATTAAAATAACATATCTATAATAACAATGGTTTAAATATTCAACCGAAAAATGATAAATTGTCAATTGACAAGTTAGTTTTTTCAAGAAGGAGCGAAAATTACGAGAAATCAGAAAGAATGTTAAAACTGTAGTATTTTCGTTATACTGCCAAGGAAAATATAATAAAAACTATTATTTTTGTCCTTGTAATAATTTGGCGATGAGAGACGTTGCAATTTTTTATGATGGTAGTAACGATATAACTAACTGAAAGCTAAGATCGGAAAAGTCACTTACCATTTGCAACGCCTCGATTCGTTTTACCTCGACTTTTACTCATTTATACTTAATAATGAATTACTTTTTTTCAATAAACAACGCGTGACGAGTTACTTTTCAAAAATGACTTCTTCTCAACCTTAGCTCTCAGTTCGTTATCATTATACCGTCATAAAAAGTTGCAATGTCATTAGCAAACTGTTATTATAAAAAGTAACGAGAAAAGTAACAGCGGTTATTTACTACCCATCCCTGCGTAATAAAAATTCTCAAAACATAAGTACGACGCTTACTTGGCGAAAAGATTGAGAATGAAAAGAACCTTAATCAATCGCTAAAATTTTCTTTACACGCGTTCAAAGAAAGAGGTTCTTACATTTTTTTCTAAAGTCATAAGTATCCATTTCTTTAGCATTAAGTATAAAGAAGTAGATATCTCTTTCCCTGTTCGCGATATAATGGGGGCTCGTCGAGTTTCTCTCCACTACCGAGAGGTATACCCACCCACTTGGTAGCAAGCAACCTCGTGATCTCTCCGACCTACTCAGTGTGTGTGTGTGTGGTGCGCGCGCTAGCGACTAACTCGGGATCCCCCGCAGTCGAAGGCACTGGTCCGAGAAATTCAATTACTGCTAAACTTCTCGACCGGAGACTCTCCTCGGTTCTATACTAGTGTAAGCACTCTGTTTCGAAGATCTGCCAGAAAGACATCTTACGTATCTCCCTCGTCTCACAGGTACGTGCGGTACATTCGGAATCGTAATTGAAACCAGGTGCATGCGAAGGGTTTCTATTGTACTGATGGGATACTATCTTTATCGATCGTATAGTTTCTGCTATTTTTAACGACATTTATTATACCAACAATCAATAATACTATAAAATGGAGTTGGCCCAGCAAATCACACATATAGCACCAATAGTTTTATAATAAACTAACTGTCAGAACAATAAGTCGAGAATTAATAAATTGAAAACGTCAATCTTATTTTCATTGCCAACGTATAATTTTTTTTCTATTCAATATACGTTAAAAATAAAACAGAAACTTTTACAGATATTATTTCACAAATCTTAAAAAAGCGGAGATAAATTTAAGTAATTAAAAATTGTTGATTTAATAATATTTTTTTATGTGTAGTCTTACCAACGTGTAGTTTAAATTTTGAATTTTCAAGATTCCTTCACTTTTTTTCTATTGTCTATAGATCTAGAAATTTGTGCATTTATACATCGATGCAATATACACGCACGCGCGCGCGCACACGCAGCACAATTCAAACTTGAATCAATTCTTAATTACTAGAAAACGACTTTCCTTTCGATCTTTCCGTTTTTTTCATCGGCGACAAACTCCATGTTCTATACGGAATCACGGAAGCATCTCCCCTCGCAGGGAGAAAATGTTCGCTCATGATATTCTTCGCCGACATCGTTTGCCTTTTTTTGCACGCTTTGAATTCGCCAGAAGGCGATCGCTATCAGATCTCATGCCTTCCTCGTCTTTTTCGTTTCTTTTTTGCTCTCTACGTGGTATAATCGGGTACTCTGTGATATACCACAGAAAGCACATAGCTTACAATAAAAATTATATAAAGCGACAAAAAAGCATGCACGGAAATAAAAGCAAATGTTTTATGTAATTTGAGACGTGTGACGGAACATTTAATAACATATCGTATAATGTTCTTTTAGATTCTTATTGTACTTATTTTTGCTTATATTATTAAGCTTATATTATAGATTTGTTTGCCTTGCTTACGCTTTTTACACTCAGCATCATCGCTTTCTCTCTTTTCAGCGCTAAATATATGTATATCTATCTCATTTTTTATGTAAAAAGTGTAAAAAAAAGTGTAAGCAAGGCGGACAGACCTTGTCTGTTCGAATAATAAGCAAATAATTTATTTAAAAAATATTTTCCAACACACCTAGATTTTCCCCCAAATGTGTTATTAAATAATCCATCGAGCGAAAGAGGCAAAAAGAGAAAAAAATGAATCGCGCACTAGTAAGGTGTGAAATGTAATACGATGAGCAATTAAATGGATTATTCCGCACACTCTTGTTGCAAGTGCAAGCTGAATGGACACGCGTGTAATAAAACATGACAATGCACAGGTTGATTAACCACAACTATATTTGCAACGCGAGTGCAACGAAGGGCAATCTCTCTCTTTCGAACGTCACTGCCAGAGGTAACAATAAAATGCGATATGAGCGATAGAAAAGCGCTACATTGATTCGAGTGTTCGTAACAAACCGATAATCGATTACAATTGTGTTGAAATAAAATGATGTCAGCTGGAAAAAGAAAGAAAGAAACTGATTCTGATAGAAATCTAGCGTATATCTATTCCAGATAGAAATGTCTTTCGTAACTTTTTTTTTCACACTTGCAAAGGCGAACTCTTTGATCTTAACATTCGCCGCGTTTATGTAAATGAGAAATGCGTGTAACGCGAAATGAATATATAGGTACATGTACGAAACAATAACAGAGGTTTTCAAATATACGATTGCACAGGCTAAATAATATGTGTGTGTGTGTGTGTATAAGTACGTTGAGATATCTGTTGCCGAAACTGAAATGAACAAGCTGGGGAATTTCAAGTAGAATCGTCGATACGCAAAGTAAGGTGTCAGCAAGGTGGGAGAGAGCTTGGATTTATCAGAGCTATATATACGTATAGTTGGGAATGTAAAGGCGTGCATCTCGTTTACAGTGCGACTTACAGTGCGAGAACGAGTCGTCGTACTGGAAAAGAAGTTGACGAAAGGAGAAGGAAAGGGTCGAGCGCGAATGAACGGAGAGAGAATTAAAGGCCGTCGTACTAACGAGTACGACTTTCGTTTCGAGTGGCATTCGAGTATAATAAGGGCCCCCGCGCAAGCTTGTGACCATTATTTACTTAACAACATTATGGCCTGCGGCCACTTGCCCTACTTAAGGCGTGGTACGCACGTTCTTCTTAATGGGCACTCGTCCGCAACTCACGCGTGTGCACATGCGCGCCCGCTTCTTAGTCGCGTGCCACCGTTTATTATTGCCCCCGTGTATGTCGAGCTTTTGCTATATACTCGTATAAATAGCGATACTCTCTACAACTTCCTCCTCCGCTCTCAAAGCCGACTTTCCGGGCCCACTGCGTTCAAATCGAAGATGGACGATATATTTAGCTTATTCGCTAAATTCGCTTATACGTGTACGTGTATTAATAAGGAAGATTTAATACAATATAATTGTTTGTGTGATGAGAGAATTGGTTTATAGTGGGAGAAAGGAAAGGTGTGTGAGAGCGCCTAATAAATTAAGGGATGATATCTGTTTCGTTTGCAAAAAATCAAACTATATATAGGTAATATACCATATATTTGCATACATAAGAGAATTTGATTGAGCTTACCGATAACAGCATCACTCTTTTCCACCTTGGACTGCCGATATTCATCTTGGGTGGACCTCTTCCTCGTAGGTAGGAGAGCCGCACATTCAGCAGGC